CATGATCAGAGGGTGGAAATTGAAAGAACCAGACCTTCCTGCACAAGGATGTCTAGTTCGTCTTGGATATCCTGATCGATGACGAGTTCATGCAAACTCCGAATAGATACTGATTGAAGTTGCGAGATAGCTCCTTGCTCGGCGCACAATCCTGAGGGTCGCGAGGTGCACTGTTTGAATCTGTACACAAGCATGTCGCGGAACAGAGGCATATGGTCGTTTAGTGAGGTGGGGCCATGGAATGTGAAATTCCGCAAATTCGGAAGAAGGATATTGGTATGGGGCGGACAAAGCCGTTGAAGTAGGTCGCTTGTCATAAACTGGTCGTGTGTAGCTGGGTTGTCAAGTTTGAGGTGCAACTCTTTTATCGATGGAATATTTTCCAGAGCCTGAATCAATATGCGGTCGGAGCTTAATATGCCGCTTAGAGTAAATTTCTCCAAGAGAGACGAGGCGGAAAATGCTTCTGTGATTCGGGGCAGGATGGCCGCATCCGTGAAGATAAATGGAACGTGGAGGAAAACCTCACGCAGAGAAGGAAGTTTGATTGACCCTAAAATCAGGGTTGATGCCGTGTTTACCCGTGATTCGAACCGAAGCTCGATATATTCCAGACGGTCTAACGCAAGGGGTCGAGAGAATAAGTCTGAGGCTCTACTAGAGGTCGAGCTGTCGATATCCCTGAAGGAGCAACGAATTATGTTGGATGCCTTGTGAAGGAATCCACGGATTTCATCCACCGATGAGTTTGTCAAAGTAAACTCCTGCAATTGATCCCATGGAGCCAGTACATCGGCAAGGCAGGGCTGGTAAAGATGAAGGGCTGAGAGTTGAGGAGCTGCTGAAAATAAATTGAAGGGCTCTTGTTCATCTGAATCGTCTGAACTTGATTCGAATTCAACAGCTGCGGTGGTAAGGAGGGGCAGTGAATTTTGAGCAGCAGAGAAGGCGTCGAACCAAAACTGGTCGTCAGGAATGTGGAATTCGGCTTGCTTCCACCGCTCCGAGGTGGAGACAAAAATGGTTAGAATTTCCTCTGGGGGATTGTAGTTCCAAGCTTCTGGCTCTTCCCCGCTGGTAAGGCAAAAAGAGAGAGGGCAACTCGCAGTTCTAGATAGCCAGTCCCGAAGAAGATTGGCTTGAGCCTTGCATCTTCTTCTCGTGACGCAGAGGTGTATATTGGTCCAAAGCAAGGGAGACGA